TATATATATATATGTATACACACACACACACACACGCGCGCGCGCACGCACGCACACAAATATTTTATATTTACTTGAATCTTTGATTGGATAGGCCAACTTGATCAATTGGCCGACAGTGATCTTGCTATTGTAGCCAGGTAATTGGAGCCGCGTCTTGCCATTCACGACAAAATCCTCGACTTCGATATCTGAGATTGTGCTACGTAATGCTGGTGACCAATTAACAAGGTCTCTGGCTCTATATAACAGATTTCTCTCATGTAGTTGTACAAACGTTTCCGTCACTGCTGCACTGTGATTCTAGAGAGTACAAATGAAAATTCAATAATATTATAACAAGTATAGAACAAATAATAACAATAGATATTAATATATAAATAGTAACAAAAAAATATTACTTCATCAATGGTAAAATATTCTCTGTCCCAATCAAGCGTAGCGCCAAGAGCTTTCAATTGCTGTTTGATAACTGCAGCCTTCTCTGCCTTCCATTGCCAGATCAATTGTGTAAACTCGTCACGGCCCATATCATATCGTGTAATGTTGCGTGTATGTTGTAATGTACGTTCCACTATGGCCTGTGTTGCAATTCCCGCATGGTCCAGACCTGGTATCCATAATACTGGATGTCCCTTCATTCTGTGCCTGTATGTATGTGCGTGAGCAGTAGAGAGAAAAATCTATAATATAATGGTAAATTTATCTATAGTAAATAAATATAACGCAATAAAAATTGCATATGATGCTAATAATAGCGTGTCAAATACATATGTACTGCATATTTTTATTATATTCCTTTCTATTTTTACTATATTTCTATTCCATACAGTAAACATACTATAGTATACATATAGTAAATATACCATATAATAAATAAATTTGATAATAAAAATTTTAATTATAAAGTATATATTGTATTATTATATATACTAGATACTTTAAATTCTAAGACTATTATAAGCGAATTATATGTATTTATCTCGTGTTATATATCTACATATACTACTATAATATACATATATACTATTATACTGTTATAGTATTGTATTGTATTACTACTTAATATACTTTTACTAACCATCTTGCCAAAACATCTTGGATTATAACAGTAAGTGCATGACCTAAATGTAATATTCCTGTAATATTAGGCGGTGGTAAGACCATACTAAAAGGTTCTTTGATTTCTTTTTCCTCTTGAGTACTATTGCTTGTCCTCCTCGTCCTAGAGGATGCAAAGTATTTATTACGTTGCCAGGTATCATACCAGCCATTTTCCACATCTTTCGGTTTAAAAATTGCAGGAAAATCTATAACGTAAAGAATAATGTAGTAACGTTTAGAATAGTACAATAAGAAGCACATTTTATATTCCTTTTGTTCTTATTAATTTTTAGTTAATTTTAGTTAATTTTTCAGTTAATTCACTTGCTGCAGATTGTAACATATGTGAATCTGTGTAAAAAAGAATAAGTTAACGCAAAAATACCTGCTAGTCTTTTATAGTTGCATAATTCAGTTGTAGTAGACGTACAATAACGTAATGTTCGACAAAAGTTTACATGTAGAAAGGAGTGATCGAACAATGTATATTTCATTATTATTAAGTAATTTCTATTTGATAGGAATTTTAATAAAATTATAGACAACAAGAAACTTGAGTTTTTTAAATAATTTATTGGAGAATTAGCTATAATGGCGCGCGCGTGATCTAATATCTTAACAATTAAGATCTAACAATAACTTAACCTCAAATTCTCTTTTATCTGCTATCGTGCTATCTCATCACTCTTAGCTGTCTTAGCTATTCGGTATCAGATGTAGATACAATTAACAAAAAATTAAAATTCTTAAAATTATATATTTTTTTTACTTTTTATTACTTTTATAATTTTCTAATTTTATTTTTCTAATAATTTGTTAATTTTTTAGTAT